ATTCTTGGCTCGCAGGTGGACTTTTATCATTTCATTAATTTCAACTTTATTTATAGAGCGCATTTCATGCACAAAACAAACTGAGTGTGCTTTACAGACATCACGTAATTACGTGAAAGTTATCACTAAATACACCGGTACCTCTCCTATCGCAGTCTTTGCTTTTCAAGAACCCAAAAAAGGATAATTCGAGAAGCAGAGTCGAGATACTTATTAATGATTTACGTATATACGTATTTACCCTTCACGAACCTCCCTACACTGTTATCAACAGTCGAACAACAACAACAGTGCCCTCCTGTGTCTAATTGAGGTACCCTACATTAATTAAATGCTCACCATATACAGTATATACATATACAGTACATGTCACGCATGACACGCCAGTATGTCTTATCGTTTATTTAAATACAGTTTCCCTTTTAGGCAAGAAAAGTATTATCTTTCACAAAAAATAATGAAAATATTGGAAATTAAAACATTTTGTCGCGAGATTGGATTTAAAAAAAATCCGTGATCTACTGAGGAAGCAAAAGCAGAACGTTACGTGAAACTTATCACGAAATAACATGAAACTTACCACGAAATATATAATAATAATAATGAGTTATTCTCGTGAGCACGAGAAACTATCTCGTGAGCATGAGATACGCCCCCCGTCCCTTTAGGGACTCCGTAGAAACCAAATCAACAGGCATTTCTATATTTTTATCTAAGCCATATTGACTGCAGCATAACATAAACATATGCGAAACCCAATATGCCATTAAATTAGACAAGTACTGTACGATGGTTAACCTGAAATTATTCAGAAACAGTATATTGTATAATCATCACAAAGTAGAGACCAACACTTTTTGACTCTGACCCTAGAAAACAGTCCTTGATTAAAGGAGTTCTGTTTATGTGTAGGACAGAAAACAAACACATTTTTTATATTTAAACTTGGTTTAAAAATAGGATAAATCTTGAAAAGTGTCTGCCAGCGTTTGTATCAGTAGTCTGAGACTAATCGAATGAAAACACTGAAATCTGAACTCATACTTTAAAAAAAAAATCTCCAATGTGGTTTTCATTGCAGACAATAAAGTTTCACCGGCAGCTAAACGGACATCAGTGTGTGATGATTGTTCTGGTAACCATGGTTTTCACAGTTGTGCATTTATCAGGCTCTCCTGGTTCCCTGTTCATGTCCCCTACTTACATCTGTTATTTCATCTTTAAAAATATTTGCAGCTGCAGAAACTCCAGGAGAACTTCACTTTAATCCCTTCTTATAGAGACACTTCACTTTATAGCTTTTCTTTGTCTTGCCCTCTGCTGCCCATCTCTCCTCTCCGTTAGACCTTTATTTGGAAAAGAAATAACAACCTGTCTTGTGTTTAAACTCACACACACACCGTGTTGTTCACATTTCTCACTGTTATAGTCCTTCTTGCTATCTGACCCACTGACGATCCCAATTACAATCTACAGAACCAAAGGTAAAATAAAAAGAGCAGAGTGGTGCCAGTACAAACAAAAAAACATTTTTTATGAAACCTGATTGGTTCTTTCCATTGCTTATGTCAACTCATTAAGGTCCAGATGGTAACCTCAGCATGACATTCTTTGGAAAGACTGTTAACCTGACAGTACCAGTGACAAATTGATAGAGTCCAATTTCATGTTCTTTGTAGAGCCTAATAACCCATAACTCCATATTCATATAACAACACACAAAAACAAGTGCAGACAAACAACTGGACAATCTGTACCACATTTAAACCAATTTGTAGCCAGACCGAGCGTGAGGTGGGCGTGCACACACACACACAGTCACTCACAGTCACCCACACACAGTCACCATGCATGTAAATAAATCTCTGTATGACAGCGCTTAGGAGTAGACTGTGGGAAAGATGGGGTGGTCCACATGTGCGATGCTCCCGCCGTGTTGTTCCTTTTTTCTTCAGGGAATAAGAGCTCAAGCAGAACTAATTGTGATGCTACTACAACAACACAGAACATCTGCCTAAATGCAGAACTTCTCTAGTTACAAAGTGTGAGCCCGGACTTTAAGGTTGGAGACGGAGATGGATTCGTCGAAGTGGGAAGTGGAAGAATGGCTGGAGGCAGGGTACGCTTCCTGCGCTGTCACTAGGCATAAATGACTGAGCGCTTACTTTCACACATTAAATCATTTTGGAGCAGAGTGGCTGTGTTTCCGCCCTGGAACTATGGACTTGCATGCACACACGATGTGAGGTAATTGCTTACTTCTGCAGCGAGAGGCTGAGGTTGTCAGCGCAGCTCTTGATCTTGTTCTGGGCTTCCAGGTGGTTCATGCTCTCTGTGGCCATGCCATCAATGGACAAAACCAGATCACCGACAGCAATACCAGCCTTGACCGCCTTTCCACCATCAGTCAGCTGCAAAAATACACAAATACCTCCATTTAGTGCTTAGAGAAAGAGAAATAAAACCTGTTTCTTTCTGCTGTTGTTAAAGTTTACGAGCAAGAACTTTGCCCAGTAGACCAGATGCACTATAAACCTCATCAAAAGATTGTTTTGTTGTTTGAAATGCTTGAAATTTAAACTACAATCTTTTAAGTTTTCAGATGTATTGTGCATGTGACCAACCAAAGATACTAAGAAAAACTAAGATTTTTTTCTATTAAAAACCATGCATCATCCAGAGAAAGAAAATAGTGACCAAAGCTTGGTGTGAAGTTCAAATATGGATGCTTCATTTATAAAAAAAGTGACCCAAAATATCTGTTTTTCACTTTGTAGAGAGATTTACAAATAATTTAATGTTACATCATTCAGTAAAACTGATTATTTCTTCTTGCATTTTAAATACACATGGTGAATACATACATATATACAAACATGATTTTGAAATTGAAATTTTTAGTATTTTAGAAAGTGTACCAACTTTGACATATGTATCCTCATTTCTTTGGTTTATCAGATTGTTCCAACATAAAAGTAAGGAATATCAAGCAGGGCAGTCGAAAGCAACATGTGAAGTTCATATTAACTGCGTACTTAGATTTATGGAGACATTTAATTTCAAGTCATTAAGTTAAACCCTAATGAAAGATCTGGATCTTGGCCATGGAGGGTCAGTACCCTAATGTACTTATAAAAAATTCCAAAACAGATCTTTTATTATTATTAACCCTTTTTTGCTGGCTGTTGTATTTTTTTTATTATCAACAAATATGCTTCAAAGTCTTGAGTAGACACTTACAGTGACATCCAACTGGTCAATAATAAACAGAATTAAAACAGTTTAAAACAATAATTAAAAATAATCCCAGAGCTGGATTAGACTTGATTATGGTCGTGTTGCGTTCAGTGATCTTTTTTTGGGTGGGTTGAGTGTCATAAGCAGCAGCAGCTGCAGTGTAAATACTTTGGTGTTGAGATCCATCCACATCTGCTCTAAGCAGATAAACAAGGCTGATCCTTCACATACTTCACTATAACAACAAACAAGAGCAAAGTCAACACAGCCATCTGTAAAAGGCAACTACATCCTTACTCTCCATCCACACTGCTGCTGTAGAACATGAGCATTTGGGCACTGCGTGATGCAGACACTGTAGTACTTGTAACTTGTGGAAAAATGCGATTTTAAAGGCAGACATCTTTGCAGTTTCCACACATTCCGAGTTTCTGTGTGTACACAGACTGTTGTCTTTGTCCCCATGTTGCAGCTCTTCCATGAGTTTTGAAAGATGCTTTCAATATCAGCATCTAAACAAATCTTAATTGCTCAATTTCCACCCTGGCGGAAGATGGTTAAGGCAAAGCAGATTTTGGCCTCACATAACAACTGTCAGACGGCAGGATGGTATTTAATACACACCACAGCTGTTCTCCGTGGTTTCAGTTGCTGTTCTTCATTAGGTATGTGTTTGTCATTAAAAAATAATTATATGATTACAATGAAAGTGAATCTGTGATGAAGTTTGTTTATTAGGGCTTTAGCTTGGTTGGTACCAGCTCTCCGAACTCCAACTGTTGTTTTGCTCATTTATGAGATGCTCTCTGCTCTGCCTTCCTTTTTAATACAACTTACTGCCTGTGTCCCTCATCTCACCTGCAGTCATTTGTTCATGGACAAAACAAAATAAATTTATTTAACGTTAACATCTCCGTGCTTAGAATAAGGGAGAAAAAGACGACAAAAGAAAAGTTAGCAAACTCACAGGAGTTTTCTTTTTAATTCTTCTCATTTTGACTGGTCTCCATGGGCGTGGTCCTGTTAACCACTCTGGCACCGTTGTACACCGACCTCTGACCACAGAATGGCCAAGTGTGCACATAATTAGTGCTGTGGCCCTGTCCTTAGATACACACTGCCTCTTTCTACAGCCAGGGAAACATTCTTAAAAAAACAAAAAAACACCTGTGCAGTGAAATGATCAGCTAACAAATAAAAACATACAAGAAGAAAAACAACACTTTTTAAAATCAGAGTTATAATTATCCAATCCAAAGAATGATATTCTGCATGTGTCTTTATCAGGATGTCCTTCCTGGTCTGAGCCAACCTAGGTTAGGGGGCTAGGCGGGCTCAAATCGTCAATAGTGCGGTAGGCCACCGTAGCCCCCAGTATTATGATTTTGCATAGAGGAAAAAAGAATCATCTAAAGGAAGCACTTGTGTTGCAAAAAAAAAAAAAGAAAAAGCAAAGCAAACATTTGTTTTTAATCACCCTGATTAAATAGATGTAAGAAGTTTCAATTTTCATATCAAAGAAGCAGTGAATAACATAAAAAATCAAAAGCAGAGATCCAAATAATCAAGCTGAGGAAAAGCCCGAGCTCTTTCCCGAGGTGTTTGATTTATGGCTTGGTTATTTTTGTTGATGACAGAAAAAAAAAACCCAAAACAAACAAACAAAAAAAGATGTTTAAAAAGTGCAGGGACAGACAATAACAACATTTACTTCACTGCAAACATAAATATTCAAAACAGAAGAGAGAATTAATTTGTGTCTGAGAAATGTCAAAGAAAAATGCAAAGTAATTGTCACTTTTTCACTTTTTCACGAGACAACAGTTTTTCCATTGTTTTTTAACCGGTGTGATCTAGAATCCCTTAGAAACACAGTCAAGTTCTACAGCAATTCCATGCTGTTTACATAGGTGCTAATGAAAACCATTAAAAAATATTGTAAAACCTGCATGTTGTTATTCATCCTAAACCTGGTACAGGCAGGCGTTTCTGACAGTTAATCTGATCTAAAATAAGGAAAGAAGTGGCCCAAGAATTGAACCCTGTGGCAACCCTCTGGATAAAGATAACTCACAGGTCACCAGACCAGTCACGCATGCATTTTAATGCACACAATGTGCTCAAGATTAGAAACCAGTGGACTAGGAGTAGGTTTAGAGACTGGTAAGGTCTGGTCTGAATACCTCAAGGATTAAATATCTGTCTTAGAGGCTTTAATTGTTTTAAACTGTTTTCCTTAAAGGTCTTTAAAGCATTACAGGCCACATAAAAACTGTGCAAGTATATTAATACTTTTTAGTGATTTTTAGTTGATTATTTTTTGCATAATCCTTATGCAAATAAACAAAAATGTGCTTAAGTGCTGCAGAATTGTCTGGACTGAATCACTGGCTTTTCCCATACGCTCGTATACTTCACATCACACAGTGTTTTAAAACCTGTGCTGAGCCTGATCTTTCATTCTGATCCTGCAGGTCAACATCTCTGTTCCTGTACACAAATTATCAAAGAACCTCTTAGTTTTACAACTAAAAGGATGCCTCATTATTTATTGACCAACTCTTCACACAAAAGTAGAGCAACGATACAAAAACAAATGTGCAGGAAAACAGCATGACAGCTACGGCCCTCTGATTACTTAGCACACAGTAAACAACCAAACAACAGCAAGAAGTCAAACAAGGAGAGGCTTCTTAAATGAATTGAACATTCAATATGTTGGATTTTTGTTTTTAGGGAGGGATCAACAAAATGCACTAAACTCAACAACAAAATATTTTTTAAAAATGGGCCTCATTAAGAGTGTTAAACATACGGCCCGCGCTTGGGGTCTCAATTATTATTATATTTCATTAAAGTCTAGTTAGGTTGTATGCAGTCCCTGAACCAAAATAAAGAGTAAAGACGTAGTTCCCTTTTTGAGTCAGAGTACTTTCCAGAGAAGAAAACCTCGCATTGAGAGAAACAGTGTCTGCAGAACTGTCACCACAACCCAATTATAGTTCACAAACCAGTAATTGAAAAAAAAAACATTGAAGCGATGAAAGGCACCTTCTATGGGATTAAAACCAGAGCAAATTAGAAAAACAGATGAAAAAGATGCAGAGCCAGACTTAATCTAAGCACAGTAGTAAACTGTTTTTGGAAACCTTTCATTGGCTTTTTATTCCTAAATGAAGTAAAGTTGGCTGTCACGTCTGCTGCATCATGGAAACGCAGGGATGCTCCACCATACATCTCAGGTCTTCTTCATGTTGCTGCTTCCAAAATTCAATATATGTAGGGTTTAATACATTCCACTTGTATGTCGATCCGCTCATATCTTGATTGCATTTTCCCCATTAAAAATAACTAAAACCAATTAATTCGTTCAAGCTCCCCAAAAATGTACAATTAATTAATTAATTAATTAATTAATTAGTTAAAAAACATATACAAATATATTGATCATATAAAATAATAATAATAAAGAAACTATTTTATATTATTGTTGTAAAATTGGGTAAAATAACCAAGCTAAGGACAAACATTATTAATGACAATCTATGCCAATCAGATTTTCCACAGTTGGTCTGATAAAGGCCAGACATCAGACCTAAGGTTGAATCCTCCACAAATGCATGCTGGGTATTTTAAGCTTGAGTAGCTTGAGTGAAATGAAAACTTGAAATAACAACATGCGTATCGACTGTGTAATTGAATAAGTGGATAGAGAGTTGAATTATTGGATATACAGTGTGCATCAATCTGCCCACATTTTTTCACAAATTAAAAAACAAGAACCTGTTAAATTTAACTGCCTTTGTTTCAATACTGTGGTTCTGATTGGTAAATGTATACAATGTGAAGTCACAAATACATGTGTGCCAATGTATGCATAACACACCTAAGTTGGCAAGCTATCTCTCACATACATTCAAGGCTAGTGAAAGCATCTGAAGAAACTCTGGCATTGCCTAAAGCTACATGTGCACAGTATCAAATAATTGCTGCCTGCTCCTTATGCTCCAGAGAAAAGACTACATCCCATAGATACCAGCTGCCAAGCCCTTTACAACACATTGTTCAAATTAAACCAGGCTTTGTAGATGAGATTGAAAATACTGAGATTTAGTCTTTCCGTTTTCATTTCTTTTTTTCTTTTTTCAACCTGATAACCAAGCATTATTAGGTA